TTCTGCATTTCTAATATTTTTTGTGCGTGTTGAATTTTCTGTAGCAAGTTGATTGGATTTTTTGGAGCAGGGTTGCTGACTTTGCGCCCAACCCTCCCTGTTTTCCTGAGCTTGAGACCGGATAGAAAACAATCGAACCAGTGAACTAGGCGAAGTTTAATCAGGTAGGAATTGAAATAGAATTAAATAAGTAAAATGAGTGACTTAATATAATTAAAAGAATGCAACTAAAAATGAGTAAGGATGAGAAATTCTGTGAGAGGGGGGACGAAACACGGCAAAGAGAGTTTTTTGTTTGTATTAAATGGTAGTATTCATTGTTTTGTTCCTCCCACTGAATATTCCACCTTTATTATCCCTGTTGTCAGCTTGGGGGATATTCACCGTCAGATCTCCAAACATCATCCAACCTAAATTAAGCAAGGGATTAAACAAGTTCCATTCGTTTTACATAGATACTGAGGTGGGATTTGATGGTAGCGAGGAATTTAAAGTTACACATTTTGTTTCGACTAATATTGCTGTGGCCGGAATAAATTTCTTGCCACGGTTTTGTTTCACCTTACTGTCTGATGACTTCTTTATTATTTCATAAATATAGACCCAAAGATACGACACTTATTAGTTCCACCGTACAAAATATGAAATTTAAGCACGAATTGTGGCCCAGTAAATCTACCATATCCAACACCATCGGTTTCTGAATATTTAGAGGAAATAGTGAAGCAAACCGGTAGTTTCCTTGAAACGTTATCTATTTAACCGGCTCTTTGGGGGAAATGATATGAAAATCTCCAGCTAACTCCTTAAGAGGGTTGCTTTAAGCAATTCGTACGAGTTACTTACCTCTGGGCTCTACATCTGCACAGTTACGCGCTTGATGAATTCCCGTGTTAGGGTGTGAACATCTGCAATGAACTGTGAACGTTGATCAGTTATCCTATGCTCACTAAAATCAGACTCAGCTATCTGAAACCATGATTCAGCATTACCTGGCCAAAATGGTACGATTTGAATGGTTTTGGCAGTTGAGCGAATACGAGTGACCTTAGGACTATGATGACTCAGTTTACAGTTTACAAACAGCACAGGAACAAATACAAAATGAAACGAACTCACTGAATTTATCTGTGTATTTACCAAAGATAAAGTTCGCTGTAGGGCCCACCAGTTTAGAAGTTGACGGTATTGACGTTCACGGATTGTACGAAGTGTACTAACGTAAGATCTAATAACCACAACTTCTATAGTGTTCGTTCCGTGTAGACCAAAGGCAAAGAAAAAGACAACATTTGATCGTCCAAATTACTAGATACATTTCGGGACCAAATCGGAATGTGAGATGATTGCTCAGCTAGCTGGGGATCGTGCACGAATGAATGAACGTGACACGACGGAGTACCAAATGGCGTGGATGCTTGACCGGAAGCCTTCAACTAAACAAGTCGGCTTAAACAGTGAGGGTCAGCATCCAATGTTCAGTGATGAGTGCTGTGGTCAATAATTTTGGGGAATTATTTACAGCTACAGGGGAAATGATATGAACATCTCCAGCTAACCAACTCAGAAATGGCACAGCATGACACAAATAACGGTTTAAAATTGACTATGTCAAACATGTAATACTCTAATATGAACTTATGTAGCAAAGTAGGAATTATTAATTAAGTGAATGACCTCCAGGTCCCTCATTCTCCACAAAGTGGAAGAGTCACTGGCCCCCGATCCCAAGACTAGATTTGAGCATGACCTTAGCTTGATTAAGCCCCTTTTAGACAAGCTACTGCCACAAACAGTATCAGGCATTACTATACATAGCGTATATAGAATAGGCCAAAAGCCTCACCCTACAGTAAGTCAGCCTGTACGTCTCCTGAAAGTCGTACTAAACTCTAAAGAAGAGAGGGATGCTATTCTAAGCAACTCTCATATTCTTAAAGGATCAGGCATATATGTCCGCGCCGACTTAAGCCTAGTAGGCCGTGTCAAAAGACAGTCTGCGGCCCTAGAATTAAGCGAAAGACGCCGAAACGGCGAAAAGAACCTTAAGATTGAGGGTTTTCGGGTTGTCCGAGTTCGCAGTTTAATTATCCCGAAACCTCTGTGAGTAGGCCTGGGAAGCACCAAACTGAATTGACAGTTTGCTACACAAACGCCCGCAGCCTGTTAAATAAACGGACTGAGCTGGTTAACATGATAGACTCCGGAAACCCAGATGTAATTATTACCACAGAGACATGGCTCACACCCGATGTCACTGACAATGAAGTTAACCTGCCAAACTTCGAAGTGCATAGGGTGGACCGACTAAGCCGCAAAGGAGGTGGCATAGTCATCTACCTCAAGAAATGCTTAACCGTGTGTAGTATCGAAGCATTCGCTCACGAAAGTGAGTCGTGCGAACTTCTACGCTGCAGACTTAAATGCATAGGCCAAGACATTGACCCCATTGCTCTGTGCCGCAGTCCTGACTGCAGTGCAGATGACTTCCTGATAGAGAAGCTAGGCTCCTGGACCTCGAAATGTCGAAGTCTCGTAGTTGGCGACTTCAACGCCCCAACAGTTGACTGGACGAGCCTAACAACTCCATCTTCAGTCAACTCCTTTGATCATAAACTGCTGGAATCTAGTATATCGTTAGCCCTAGTCCAACATATCATTAAGCCCACGCGCTATGACTCACAGCACTCCTCCTCAACTCTGGACCTAGTGTTCTCCCATGGTGAGGATGTAGATCTCATACAACATCTTCCTCCTTTAGGAAGAAGTGATCATGCTGTGCTCACTTTTAAGTTCACAGAGACAGCATCATGGGCCAAAACCCCATCTCGACCAAACGTTTGGCAAGCTGATATGAATGCAATCGTCTCAACAGCCAACTCAGTAAACTGGTACATCAACCCAGAGTCTCAAGTAGAAGCCGCATAGAACCAATTTAAACAACTTTACGCCCAAGTAACTGAACCTTTCATCCCTTGGTCTGTCCCAAAGGGTCGGAAACATTGCCCTCCTTGGATAAACCGAGAGATTTGTAAGTTACTCAGACGTAAACACAAATGTTGGAACTTGTTTGCCACACTTGAGACTTCTGAGACCAGGCAATTATACAACACTGCTAGAAATAAAGCTATTGCAGAAATCCGCCAATCAAGGATGAAATTCGAAGCACACCTGGCTCAAAATGCAAAGGCGCAACCTAAGAAAATTTTCTCGTACATAAACTTCAGGAATGAAACATCCAATGGCGTCCTAAACCTGACTATTGACAATGATACAATCGAAGAAGATCAAGAAAAAGCAGAAGCAATGACAAACTACTTCTCCCAAGTCTTCACTCAGGAGTCATCACTGCCTATAGGATCAGCTCTGGCTGCATCAGAAGAACATGGGATAGATTCCGTTGACATCGACCAAGGCATCGTGCTCAACTGCCTAAGGAAACTAGATGCAGGGAAATCAATGGGTCCTGATAATCTTCACCCAAGGCTTCTCAAGGAGTTATCAGCCCACATAGCCGGCCCTTTGACTACGACCTTCAAGCTTTCTCTCCAAAATGGAGTGTTACCGCGTGACTGGAAAGATGCCATAGTAACCCCCATCCACAAAGGAGGATTAAGACAAAGCCCTTCAAATTACAGGCCTATCAGTCTCACCAGCACTTTAATTAAGACACTGGAAAGAATCATCAAGAAAAGCATAATGGCATATCTAGAAAATAGAAGCTTATTATCAAGAGCACAGCATAGCTTCCGAAGGAACCTCTCATGCCTGTCAAATCTTCTCACTGCAAGAGAAAGCTGGGTCAAATCTGGGGACAACAGAAGACCCGTTGACGTCGTCTTCATAGACTTCAGCAAAGCCTTTGATAAAGTACCTCACAGAAGACTACTCATGAAGTTGGAAAGTCTTGGTATCAAAGGCAGCTTACTAAACTGGCTCAGGGAATTCCTCATAGATAGGAGGCAGAAGGTTAGGATTAACTCGAAACTCTCCTCTTGGACAGCAGTAGGCAGTGGAGTGCCACAATGCACGGCACTCGGACCTCTCCTATTTATTTTGTATATTAATGAGTTATCTCTGCTCACCGACTCCCCTATGGTCCTATACGCAGATGACTTAAAAATTTGGAGAGAGCTTAAGGGCAACAGTGACACGTCCACGTTGCAAGAGGACCTCAACAAATTGTCAGAGTGGTCCATAGAATGGATGCTCCCGATAAATGTGGCAAAATGTGCAACCATGCGCATTGGACAAGCAAGCACGAGCTCCTACGAACTAGAGGGAATTACACTTCCATCAGTTCAGACTCACTTGGACTTAGGTGTCATAGTTAGCCACGACTTAAAAACTACAGCACACAGTTGCGCGAGGGCTGCACGTAGTATCAGGTCATTATGGGCAATTCGTAGAGCCTTCACTAGAATCACCAGAGATATGTTCACCTCCTTATATACATCTCTGGTGAGGTCAAGACTGGAAAACTGCATCCAGGCCGCCAGCCCTTGTCTAAAAGGGGACTCACACATTCTAGAAAGGGTTCAAAGGAAGGCAACACGTATGGTTCTCGGAATGACTAATTTATCATACGAGGAAAGACTAGACAGTTTAGATCTCTTCTCCTTGTCATACCGTAGGCAGAGAGGAGATTTAGTCACAATGATTAAAATTTTAAATGATGACTATGGACCTGACCTATTCTCTCTTTTCCTTCCCACCAGGTCTGAACACTTTAGCGGACATGGCAGGAGAGTTCAAAAGCCAAGAAGAAATCATATTGCTGTTGAGTACTGGTTCTGACACCGAGTCATAAACTCTTGGAACCGACTCCCAGAAGAAGTGGTGTCTGCAACCTCAACTGATTTGTTCAAGAAGGGTTTGGACAACCACAGAAATTTACTAGAAAAGGATTAACATTGGCTCCAAGCTTTCTATCCTCAACCAATAAATCTGAATCTAAAAGTTGAATTGCAAGCGTACTTTTTAATTGTTTGCGGAACAGCATGACCGTATCGTAAGCAGATTTGTTTCTGTCGCAGATAACTATTATCATTATTTACCTATATAGACCTTCTTCACGTAAAAGTTGATTATAAGTTGTTATAAAAATATCAATGTGAAACACAAGCCCCAACTAAAACTAGAGTAGTTTTTCGGTACCGACGGTTATTAATGTAGAGATTAACAGCTTAATATATTACGAAAGTCGGAAGTTCACTATTCCGTTTTATTTATACTTAACAATGTGTCTTCTGTTCCGTTTAATAGCCTTAAAATACGCACAGTTTAAGGAGAGATTCTATTCCTCCAACGCGTTTGCTAGGGCATATTTTGTGTCCTGAACACTTTTCGCTACATTGTGAATTAACGCTTATTATACGTGGAACATGGATCGCGTACAATTGGATGAATCTATTAAGGGGATATTTTCCCAGAATTGGAATAGTTTCTTGTTTGTGATACCCGAAAATTGCTAGCTGCTTTTGATTATTGGTGCCTGCGTTCTATCTCTCATGTTGGGTGGCATATTAGGGTGAACAATATTGAGATGAGGCATCGGTCGAGTGCTAGGTAAGGAGGGGAAATCAATCGATGAGGTTGTGAAGTTACGCCGATTGAGATGGTTAGGACATGTGTTGCGCATGCCTAGCCATCCATCTCCTTCCTCGACGGGCAATGTTAGCTGACAGGATGGATCAGGTTGGAAAAGAACTAGTGGTGATCAAACGGAAACATGGCTTCATGAGTCAACGAAATCTTTAATAGTCAATGACGCAAATGCATTCACTTTGTGATCTATCATACCCATAAAAATATTATTCTTCCATATTACTATTCTTTTTGCTTCATATTTCTGTTTACCACTCTCTTTTAAATCTCTATTTACTCTCCTCTTTCTTTGCATATATATGCAAAGTTCTACGTTGAAACCAGTCAGTTAGTGCAGCTGTCTCGGCATGTGTCCCTCATTGAAAAACATATGCAGCAGTGCGAGTTGCCACACTCCATGGAGCACACAAAGAAAGAGAAGAGAGTAAATAGAGATTTAAAAGAGAGTGGTAAACAGAAATATGAAGCAAAAAGAATAGTAATATGGAAGAATAATATTTTTATGGGTATGATAGATCACAAAGTGAATGCATTTGCGTCATTGACTATTAAAGATTTCGTTGACTCATGAAGCCATGTTTCCGTTTGATCACCACTAGTTCTTTTCCAACCTGATCCATCCTGTCAGCTAACATTGCCCGTCGAGGAAGGAGATGGATGGCTAGGCATGCGCAACACATGTCCTAACCATCTCAATCGGCGTAACTTCACAACCTCATCGATTGATTTCCCCTCCTTACCTAGCACTCGACCGATGCCTCATCTCAATATTGTTCACCCTAATATGCCACCCAACATGAGAGATAGAACGCAGGCACCTATAATCAAAGACAGTTAGCCGGGATTTTCATGTCTTCCGCTCCCAGTGGCCAAGTTGCACAGCAATTTAGGAGGACGGAGTGAACTTCTGAGCAGTAAACACGCATTTTGGTCGACAGCGGGATTTCGCGTCTATGCCGGAAATAGAATAAGTTAGCGAATGCGAAACGAGCCTTCTGTATGCATACTGAGATTTCTTCAGTTATCGACCTTTTGGGCTGATGCAAAACCACAAATAAGTGAACTGGTCAACATGCTGTACCACTTCACTCCTTATCTTAAAGCTAGGAGCCGTAGTATTCTGGTCCTGTAACATCATCTTACATGTAACAGAGAGGGCGAATCGCATGCCAAACATTCGAAGGCTGCTGCTTAGGGTGTTCAGACTGCATTTAAAAAAATACGTGTAGTAAAAGCGTTCAACTATATACTCAAACTGTTCTGAATTGCCACTGAGTTCAGAAAATTTTGCCTGATTTCACCATTTCCTACTAACTTTGTCGTAGATGACATTCTGAGGGGTGCGTAAAGCAGTGTAAATCATTTGCCTGAAGGAAAACTATTCAGCCGTCGATATATAGAAGATTTTGCTGTACTATGCGACAATGTACCTGTTACTTGAGTCTCAGTTATCTTTTAGTGTTTGTTGGAATAGTAAGTGGAAAGTAGTGTTGCAAGATTGACAGAAGCCTGTACTCGCACTCACCTTTACGAATAAAATGTCGGAAAGTTCATGTATCTAGATAGCTGCATTATGGCTAGCAGGTGTGATGAATGAAATTTAAAATTGTATAACAAAAGCCAGTAGTATGTACATGATGGTAGTTTAGTCGTTGGAACAGGTTTGCAACATTTTTGCCTGCTCTACTCCTGTGAAACCCGTGGTCTTCGAGGTAGGCATGACCTGTGATTCCCGTGTTCGGTCACTTTTATCTCCGTAAAATTGCTTGTATTCGATGAAATCGTGTAAGTAATTCTGAGTTCCGACACCGTGTGTTTTCACAGCGTGGAAATGACCTGTCAATAAGTAGTCCTTTAGAAAAGCCGAATTCTGTGGTTCGGGTTTGTTACAATTTTCATCCCGGCGATTTTCACGTGTGCAGATTATTGGGTAACCCTAGTTTTTTATGAGGTAATGCAGATGTGGACAGCTCATGACAGGTCACTTTGGAATGAAGGTCAAATGTGTTAGGTTACCATTTTTTATTGCATCAGTACTTTATGGGGATCTGAGAGGGTTACGTGACTTAGTGGATTGAAACCATATGAGGTACGGCTCAAAATCGAAATTGCTTGTTAACTTGCTACAGTTTTCTTCTGCTTACGATAATAGTGTAAACTTTCTTTCGAATGTACCTGTTAAATGTATTCTGTTTCTCTTTCTGTATTGTTGTCCGATTATTTCATAAAGCGCCTCTTTTAGGGTTCATACTGTTCCCTGTTTACTTTAACAAATAAATGTGTTATCCTTGATACACAAATGTTGGCATGCTTATTGTGTTATATGTCCTTGTATGTTGTTTACTACTGCATTCGTTATAACAAATCCTTTATATATTTATTTATTGATACTGAGACCCACTTTATTGTCTACTGGTTGGTTTCATTTTTATTTATTTCATTTTCAGTTGGATAGACGAACTAAGTAATGATCCAGCGTCACTTCCTCCCATTGAGGAGAAATTTGATCCTGAACGGAATATTAAAACTACTATTCGATATTTTTATAATGAAGATGGTGATTTAATAAAAGAAACTAAAGAGTATAGCAGAGAGAAGCGTGTCGTTGCTTCTCAAGTTGCAGAAAGAAAAAAGTGGAAAAAATTTGGCGCTTCAAAATCTGATCCTCCAGGTGGAAGTATAGCTAATACCTATCCAGCTGATATTGTTACAATGCAAATTGTTCAGTTAAGACAGGTGTGTGTACATATATGCACGTTTATCATTAAGGTCTTCTCTTCAAATAATAACGTTAAGTTTTATGGATTTTTACTCCCCGTTTTCGTTTTTCTGCAAAATTAACCCTGTGAATTAGTTAAACACTTAATCAACTATCCTTAGTAAGAGTCTAATCCTTGTTGATATTTCTCTCAGTCTAATTATTTTGCACTAGTTTATGTCGGCAATGTTTTGACCAAGTATATATAAGTAGGATCTGTTTGGTATATGTGCTGTGAATTAATGAGTATTGTAATTGGCAATTAACAGTAGTCAGGTGTTACATATGAATAATCTTAACATTTGTTGATTGAATTGACAACTGAATCCGCCAGCTTTCTTTATTAAACTGACAACCAGTCGTTTTCCACTACTGTGATCCCTTATTTTTATTTCTTTTTTCCTTAATAGCCAGAACAAGAACAAAAGAGACAAGAAGAATTGAATGTCAAAGTTAAACTCGGAGAACCAGTGGTTATTTGCAGTTATTGTAAGGGTGGGCATTTCACACGTACCTGTCCATATAAAAATGATATGGAAGCAATGCAGTTGTTGCAAGAACAACTTCGGGCTAAAACTGAACCTGCAGAAGAATCTGTTAAAGAACCGGTAAGTTATAATATTAATGTGTATATGAGATCGAAAAAATCTGTGTCTTTCCCTGTAGTTATCTTATTTATGTTTACATTAGGAGTCGGTGGCATAGCGGTTAGGACGCTTGCCGACCATGCACATGGTCCGGGGTTCGATCCCCGGCCGACGCACTCCTTTACCTCGCTAAGCCAGAAATAATGCTGGTGAAGAGGAAAGGTTGGGCATGAGGCTAGCAACCCCATCCCGTAAAATAAACACTGCTACAGAAACTTCAAGCCACTAGCTTGAAACCCTATGTTCCACTGGGGAACGTGAAGGAAAAAAATTAGGCTAGACGTTACATAAAATATATGATTATCGTGTAATGGGAACTTTGCCTAGTGTAGCCGAATCTAAGCCCTTAAAAAGAGAAGTTTGGACGTGAGGCTAGTGACCTCCTACCCCGGAAAATCAACCCAACCGCTGCAAAAACTTCAAATCCCAGCAAAAATATAAAAGATAAACTTATTCATCTCTGGAGTCGGAAAGACAAAATGACACGGTCTGGTGAGAGCCTTCGAGAAGCCAGTCAACCTATGTGTCGGTGAAGGCATAAATGAGCCTGGGGGCATGGAATGTCCGCACGATGTTTCATGATAGGAGGGCTGCTCAGGTTGCAAAAACATAAGAAAATATGGTGAAGAAGTGGATTCCCCAAAACTATTGCTACTTTCCTACAACCAACGCAAACCAAAAGAAGAAGGAAGGCTTCTACAGTTAACCGCAATTAGTGATGGACAAGACACCAAATGGCAGTGATACTAAATGCAAGTCAAACTGTGAGCAGAGAACACCGGGAGAGAACTGATCATATGTCGAAAGGCTCTTGGAGAAATGAATATTAACGGAAAACTCTTTGCAAACTTTGCGCCTTAAATGGTTTGGTGATTCGAGGCAGTGTATACCAGTATAAGGATGTAAGCAAGGTAACTTAGATTTCAACAAAAGGACGCAGCTAACATTAGACAGAATTCACTCCAATCTCAAGAAAATAGACAGGAGTTCAAGTGAGTATAGAGAAGACAGAATTGATGGCGATGCCTAACAGTGAACAACAAGCATCAACCATCGTCAGCGGGAGGGATTTGACCAAAGTCACTTTTTCACGTACCCCGGTAGTATCATTTCAACTACATGCGGCAGAGGTGAATCTGTTAAAGGCAGGCTCGGAAAAGCAAGATAGACCATCATCAATCTGTAATCATACAAGAATTCCCTTTTATTAACTTGGGCAGAGAAAGAAAAAATATTGGTGCAAAATAACATGGATCCATTTTCTCTCGTTGATTCTCATTAGCTGCATGCAACCTGTAATCTTTAATAATTAAAAATCAGCGTGAAATTTAACATGAACAAGCAAATTATAAGAATGTCATGTTGAGGCAAAACATCGGGATGACATGATAGCTGAAGTGTAAGTATACACACATCTTTTCATAGAGAAGTCTTTAGAGAATTGATTGACAAGTTTTTTGTTAGGGTGGTTAAAAAGATTAGTAAAAATTACGTAGTTAGATAAAAGAATATCAAAATTTGGTGTGCAAGAGGTCAGATGAAAAAAAAGATGATGATGCAATATTGTGAGTAGAACTCATAAGGCCAAGAAAAATTATCTCTTATGGAAGTCAAACAGAAAAAAACAGCGAGGCAGGGGCCGTTGAAAAGATACGTTAATGAAATTAAGAAACAAAGAGTTATTAAGGCATGATTCACCAGAGTAATTGTAGTCCAACGAAAGATTTTCTTTTGGACACATAAGTCATGTTTCTGCCCTTTTATTGCGATAGCCTCAACAAACGGAAGAACTGAGCTATTTTGTCTGTTAATTATTGTGAATGATGCCAGGGCGTCTACTCGGTGTCCAGTGTCTATCAGGTGTTTGGTAACTGAAAAGCTTAAGCGGCTTGGCACCTTTAATTGAAAGCTCCTTGGTACATGTTCTAAGAATCTGACGTGTAGGCCCATTTTTCCGTTCTTCTGATGTAACTGCTCCCACAGGTACATGTGAATGGGTATACACAGTTGAAAGTAACATATGAGGGGTAATTGTTGATCTCTGCACTAACGAGAGACTAGTTTTGCTGTAGGATATTTCCTGTACAGGGCTGCGCTTAATATTCTTTTTATGATTCTCATAGTATCATCGCCTTTGAAGTCGAGTTTAATGAAAACTGGTTTCTTGCTGACAGCATGGGCATCAGATTTCGTGCTTTCATTCTTGTCATATTTGTCAATCAAGCTTTGTGGATAACCATTTTCTTTCAAGTAATTCTCAAGCACTATTAGTTCACTGTCTAATTTGTCAGGTGAACGTATTCTTTTCGCTCTGGAGAGAAGCGTTCGTTTGTAGCTGAATGGGCAGAAGCTGTTCTAGATTAAGTAGAGATCGCTCCATGTGTCTTAACGATATATCGAGCTATGTAATCAGTGTGGAAATCTGCTCCACTTAGTATAAGAAACAGGATTCGGATTTTTAAAATTAATGTGTAATCAGTGCTTCTATATGATTCAGGGACTTTAATCACCGGTCACCAAAACCTTTCCCAACAGGCTACTGCAGATCAGACGACCAGAACGGATTAGCAACAAGGAACTCTGCCAACAAACCAAAAAAACCATAGCACAAGAAATATGCTGAAGGAAATGAAAATGGTTGTGGACACACGCTGAGGAGACCGTCTGGTCTGGCCTTCGAGTGAGATCCTAATTGGGCATCCGAGGGGGAGATAATGGGGAGGAAATGGGCGCCTGCAGGCAGTCGTGGAGCCGGCTAAAGAGGACTGCAGAGAACAGAATGAAATGGGATATGCTCCTGTGTCCCACTCGGAACCCAAGGGAGTAGTAATAATATAATAATCTTTTGATGAAAGTTTTCCACATTGCCCTAAGTTATGTAATAGGAATTTATTACCATTGTGGCTAATAGGATTAGAATTCAAGTATGTGGATTAGTAAGTCATAATAATAATAATGACGAAATCATGCAGGTGCTTATATAAATTTGGGTGGTTAATACTGTCAGTTATGCAGATAAGCAGGAAATTAACACAGTAAATAACGTTATCATGTTTTAAGTAATATAAGGCTTATCTCTTGCATCCATGCTAAGACCTCATAAACAATCGGCTAATCTCTGGTTAGACCTTCTTAATGACTGGGGTTTTCAGACAACCTTTTGTGAGCAGAAAATATGCGTTGGTCACGGATTTGCTGAGTCGCAGATGTTTCGAATCAATCGCACAGCAGTCAATCCGTTTCTGCACCTGAAGTCTGTACCGAAATTCACTGTTAAAGTGAAGGTACTTGACACCTACATCCATTATTCCAGTCGGCATCAGGATCGTCAATGTCTTCGACAGCATTCTTAGGATGCCTTAATGTATGATAATGTAGAGACTACATGGGAAGCGACTAGTCTGTTTTTTCGCTACCAAGGTGGAAAGCTTCCAAATGTGCTTTTCTATGTGTTATCATTTCTTCGCGATAGCTTATCATTGGACTTTTCTAACTTTGGGAGTACAACCTCATTTTCAGATGTGTGGATTGTTTATTACATGCATGAACCCATTAAATTAATAAGTTCTTTTTGTCGTTTTTTTTATAGCAAATCGATCGCCCTGGACGTTACATCCCACCATCTTTACGTGGTGATGCAGCTGCAACAGGCACTAGTATGTCTTCAGAAAAGCGTCCATTTGACGGAAATACAGTACGTGTTACTAATCTACCTCCGGATACAACTGCAGATGATCTTAAGGCGTTGTTCAGTTCATTTGGTCATGTGATGCGTATCTATCCTGCAAAGGATAAATTAACTCAACAAAATAGGGTAAATTATTTTTTACGGTTTTAAATTATTATTATTATTATTATTAATATCTGTTGTTGATTAATGTTAGAACAAAAATGATCATTTAGGCATGTAATTTAAGAACAAACACCATTTATTGATTGAATGAATATATTAGTGGAGCATATAGTGTTAATCAAATAAATCAGCGTAGAACCTTTCACAGGAAATGCAAAGTATGTGATAATGTTGAGAAAAGCATAGAGAAAAGCGCTTGAACTTGTGCTAGTTACATTTAATTATAAAAGGTTTCTGTGGCTCTAAATTGTTTTCATTGTAGCATTCTATATTAGTTTGTTTATTAGATATATCACACAGTAATGAAATAGTATTATTCACTGGATGACAGCGTTTCGAACACAATTTATTGTTCATTATCATATCAATTAATTGATTAATTAATATGGAATTACGTACTACCATAGTGCCGAAGTTTTACACATATATCTGTTGTAGCATTTCTGTCTCATTCCTAATAATTCTTCATCATATTTACTATAGGCGTATTTATACTATGAATCACTTCATTACTTTTGCATTACCACACAACTGATGATACCATGAGAAGCTGGATTTTGGGTGTCATGATGTCAGTCTTTAACAAGCTCAGAATAAACCAAAAAAGGCGGTCAGTGTGTTTAGACGTTGCTCAGGGAGTTATATATTATTAGAGTATGCAAGCTTGTGTTTCCAGGCAAAATTGATATAAGAATAAAACTTGGGCACTGTGGTAGAGTGTAATTCCATTATGGGTAAATTTTATTTTGATAGAGTCTCACAGTGTTATACAGTAATATTTACTGATGACGTTTCAAGCACAATTTATTGCTCATAATCATATCAAGGTAATCATCACATGACTTCCTAAATTCATTTATATAATTCCGTTGTTTTTCACTTGATTTGATTAGTAGTAATATTTTCCATATTTCAGGTATGAGTGATGATTCATTCCTATTGCATGTGTTGGGTGTAGATTCGATGAACAAGGATTCGGTAATCAACCTCTCTCTCCACCTACCTAGATTACTTTTTAGAATTTTAACCCTCTCCCACCCTATTGCAATGCATGCATTAACACACAACCACACAATAGGGTGGGAGAGGGTTAAAATTCTAAAAAGTAATCTAGGTAGGTGGAGAGAGAGGTTGATTACCGAATCCTTGTTCATCGAATCTACACCCAACACATGCAATAGGAATGAATCATCACTCATACCTGAAATATGGAAAATATTACTACTAATCAAATCAAGTGAAAAACAACGGAATTATATAAATGAATTTAGGAAGTCATGTGATTACCTTGATATGATTATGAGTGACAATAAATTGTGCTCGAAACGTCATCAGTAAATATTACTGTATAACACTGTGAGACTCTATCAAAATAAAATTTACCCATAATGGAATTTCCAGGCAAAAAAGCGCTGACAATTGGTAGGTACGGTGTATGATTTTTATTGCGCCTACACGTCAAGTCATATTGTAGACTGGTTGGCAGTTAATGCGATTAATATCTACAGCTTGAAGAGGACTATCCATTAAAGAAGTCAGTTATCACCCATGAAATGTGACTTTCTCACTTCACATGTTCTCGCCCGTTAACCTAGACGGTAAATTTGTTCTCTCTTTGCGCTACAGGGTTCCTTCCTTATGTATATGCACTCTGCATTTTTTAATAATAATAATAATAATAATTTACTTTATTCCAAAAACAGTACTTGTGATACAGAATGGAATTTTCAGCATTAATCACAATATTGCATCTAATTTCCTCAAATTATAAATAAAATTAATCACAAAGAAAATTTTTCTACATTTACAATACGGTTAATATAAAAATAAATAAATAAAAAATAAAAAAACATGCAGCATATAAAATGGAAATAATAATAATGATAGCAGCTAAGGTAATGATAATAATAATAATAATAATACAAGTGAAAATTGCCGTCGGCTTGTTTCACACAGTATTGTCGATGCGGTATACGAATCCTTGCATGATTAAAAATATTGAATATGATGTTCTCTTTACATGATATGGTGAGGGGAAAAACAAAAATTACAGCAGTCATAGAGATAAGTTGGTGTTTGCAGTTATGAAAGTGAGAACAAGAAGCAACAGGACCATAAATATAATAGAAATAATAAAAGTAAAACTTGAAGGTATATAAGGATGGATGGGGGAGATTGTTTATTTACTAGATGAAAAAAGGTTAGTCAATTCTTGCCTGACGCTATTTTCATCACATAAAATACGTGCCAAGTATGGTATCATAGAATTTTTATACTTAGACGTGCGAGCATACAGTTTTCTGAAGTTACTTCTCGTTCTACCTGAGGAGATGCAAGGTGAAAGCTGAGGGTGAAGTGGATGCTCCAAGTCAGACAAAATCCCTTTAGCAAATTTACTGCACGAAGTCAAATGCCTATCGACAACGACGTTAACTATGTAGTCCACTGGGACACCACTCACTCTGCTGACAGTCTTCAGCATTCTATGAATTGTGACAAAGTCCCTTTTAAGCAAACCAGGAAAGAATAAGGGTGAACAATAAAGAAGAATAGGTAGGATGCAAGAGTTTATAAACTGTAGGAGGAGGGGTTGAGTTATACCCCAGTGCCTTAACTTCTTAATGTAAAATGTCAGGCGGAATATTTTACTGGAGATCGCTGAGACATGGGAAGACCAGGAGAGATCAGAAGAGAGAATAAGTCCAAGATACTTAATTTCTGATTTAATTCCTATATCATTGTCATCAATCTTACAACTGTCATAAGAATCGACGGCTTCTTTTAACTGCCGTTTACACCTTAAGCTGAAATTAACAGTTTGACATTTAGAAGGATTCAGTTTAAGACCGTTAGACTCAGACCATTTACTGACTTCCGACAGAAAGCTATTTATTTTGGTACAATCTAGCTGGGAGTTAACAGCCATTGAAACAGTTAAATCATCAGCGTACTTCACAAAATTTATTTCATCGGACTGAGGCAAGTCATGTAAGAAGAAAGAAAAAAGAAAAGGAGAAAGGACAGTACCTTGAGGGACACCAGCTTCAGTAGGTAATGAAGTGGAAGACTTCCCTTTATATACGGTGTACTGCTTTCTTTCTGAGAAATAAGAGTGTAACCAGTTAACAGCCCAACATTCTGTTTGACTTACAGCAAGTTTATTTAACAAGATGTCCCTAGGGACCGAGTCAAAAGCAGATGTATAGTCTAGGAAGGCACAACGGACAAATTTGGCCCCTTTGTCTAGACTGGAAGCAATGTTATGATATAAGACGGCAGCTGCATCTAAAGTGCTTCTACTGTGCTTATAAGCAAACTGTTTTGGGTCATTAAAGGATTTAAGAGAGGGTGCAAGACTAAGTAAAAGTAGTTTCTCCATAGTTTTCAAAAAAGGAGAGGTAATAGCAATGGGTCTAAATTTGACACATGCTCTTTCTATAATTTTAATGTACATGAAGTTTTTAGATAATAATCAACTAAATAGTTGATATTTGTTAAACCTGCTTACTTATTGTTCTTGCCTATTTTCATGTTGTTGTTATTATTTTTGTTAGGGATTCGCATTCATATCGTACGAAACAGCAGATCAAGCGAAAAATGCAATTTATGGTGTTAATGGTCTTCGGCATAACCATGTCGTACTGAAAGTTGACTGGGCTAAGTGAGTTTTTTTGCATTTCATATCGAGTTCAATCTTTTCCCGTTCAGATAACTATTATAATGCAAATAAAACTCACCGTCTAGGAACTTACATAACACATACTTTATGACGACTGGTGATACAATACAGAGTGCATTAGATGAAAGTAGGTAACTAATTAGTTCAGACTCAATAAGCTACACTCACTTTTATTATGCATATCACATTCGTCTTTAATGTGCAGATTTGTGGCCTATTGGTTCATGCTCTCGCATTTCAACCATTGGGTCACGGGTTAAAATAAATAGATTGTAGAGGCTTAATGTAGAACTTGATGAGGAAGTTATCACAAAAAAATATTCAGTCTTGTGAAATAAATCGACAAAATTGAAATAAACAGCTGGTCCCTTAACTTTCATTTTAAGACGTATGCATTTGGGCAGACTCTGCTGGTTGATATGCATAGAATCACTACCTCAGTCTTTACTAGTGAAATACGTTGATGAACCTTTTGGCGGAAATCAATACCAACATATATATATATATATATATATATCCCAAGCAATTTCTAGTTATGCTGCTTGAAATAATAGAGAAGATTTGTAGCTCAGGTGGATGATTTGGAATTAGTTGTGCTCTTTGAGCTGGTTGGTTTAATTGCGAAGGACTTTCAAATTCCAAGTCAAGAAAAAATTATCAGTACAGATGTAAATCGACTACCAGTCACGAATATGTTTGCCAGGAGATACAATTCTACCATTCATGGAGAATTTAAATCAGTTCATTTTATGCTAAAACTTGCGCTGAAGGTGTTGTCCAGAAGGACGACAAAACCTCCGCAATTGAATCAACCAACTCAGAGAACACGACTAGTTCCAAGTTATTCTGCTTATTAATGACTACAAAAATTTAGTTAACTGTCATATTATGATCAATCTCCGGTTTGTTACGTGTGGTCAGGCATATTAGATTAGTTGATAGCTGCTTTGGATAGTCTTCACCAACACAACGATTTTACGCCGTATACCTTATTTATTTACTTTGACTAACAGATGTGAATCAGTATAGAAATTTTGATTGAGTAAAGATTGTTCCCCACCGCCGTCCTCTCCCTGTTTTTGTGCTACTTTTGTGGTTGTGTTTATTGGTGCGATCTCAGCTGCACAGACTAGTTGTATCCCCCGTCATGAAAATGTCCAAGCCACCTAGAATCGGATACGCTTACGTCAATCTGAAATTGGTTTGCAAATCTGCACTCAGTGTCACAAAGAACAAGATTCGGATTTTCAACACAAATGTGAAGTCAGTCAGTTCTTCTATTCGGGTCAGAAACACGATGCGTCACGAGAAGCATTCTCAACAGGTTACAGACTTTTATCAACAGCTGCCTTCGCTCCATATTCAAGATCAAGTGGCCAGAAAGAATTAGCAGCAAGAAACTCTGGGAACGAACCGATCAAGAACATATCGTTCAACAAACATGTAGAAGGAAACGGAGATGGATAGGGCACACACTGAGGAGACCGTCGAATAACACCGCGTGCCAAGTTCTCGAGTGGAACGTGTTATGCGTGAGTCCGAGAGTGACATGGGGGGAAATGAGAGATTACAGGCAATCGTGAGCCTAGCTAGAGAGGAAAGCAGAGAATAAACCAAAGTGGAAATGTACCGTAGAATCCCTATGTTCCACTTGGAGCCTAAGGGAACAATAGTAATATAATAATTAGTTACATTTTGTAACCTGTTCGGTTTGTTGAGTTTTTTTTTAATAATCTAAAGGATAATGACTAGCTAATGATTGAGTGCAGAACAGTAATTCTTTCAGCACTCAGAAACTTTAAATGTCGGAAATATGTGCAAAGTGCTGGTTGTCGAGATAATTAATCTAGTATTTCGTTAACTTCTTGGTAAATTTTGGTCCATGTTTTGATCTCTGTCGAAAGAGCATGTATTCAGATATAAGTTTCTACTTCTTTTACTAGTTTTATTTTCTGTTGTAGAATTTCTTTTTGTGTCTAACAGCAACTGCAAGTCATCATGATTAATACAACAATTAATCGCATTTATTATATTTTCCCTTTTCAGGCCTTCGAATAACTAGTCGTGTTGTGTCTAAACAGCTATCCTGTTTGACAATACAATCCAGTGACTTGTTTCCAGTTACTTCTATGGTGAAAATGTTTTGCTTTTAATTTTTTGTTGAAGAAAGATTTATCAAATAAATGATTTGTCTTCTTATTTTTACAGCAGAATTAATCTGTGATAGTAATCTAGTAGTAGTGTGTATCACAAACTATTCTATCAACAAAACATGACATTTTGGATTAACCTTTCTTCGTTGGATTACTGACACAATTGTGAACGATTTGGGGCTATGTTATCATTAGTCTTCAACCATTGATTCATAGAGTTCTTGAGAGTCTCAACAAGGCAGTTTACCCATATCTGATCATTATAATTTGTTTCCAGACTAATCGTATATCAGCCAGCATTGCTCGTCGAGGAGGTCGGTGGCTGGGTGAACATAACACCCCTTAGCCATTCAAAGCGATATGTCTTCACCTGATCATTTGCCTTTCCCTGCGCTTACCTACACTGAGCCTCATTATTACTTTCTACATTGTGCCACTCAATATGTTAAATTGAACGCAGGTATTTATGGTCAGAAACGTTAAGTTTTCCCGTATCTTCCAATTTCTACGGACACATGACAGAGTGTAAAGAAGGACGAACTAATGACAGATGTGAGCGATGGGTTTCAACCTGTTCTTTGGGAATACTTTATTCGATCTGTCACTTAAGTAGGCCGATTAGTTTTCTGAAGTATAGAGTCCAGTTGGTGGAGTGAGCTGATACTACTTTGCACCAGTTACGTATGAACACGTCAATGTAGATGGCCATAATACTAATTAATCTTAAAGGGGTTAAGAAAGTCAGAATAGGTTCTCCTCGAAGGTCTCCAAGTATAAGCTACAGCTTCTCCAGGGGACCTACCGAGATTTTGTTAACCATCGGAATACACAAACTAAACTTGTTTGTAGGTCACTTGTAGGGAGGTATTTGTAACAATCGAAATGGTGTAATCAGTCATCATATATTTTCAATGATGAGATCAAATTGTCATATGTGCCTGTATATACGTGTGTAGTTGTTGTCTGTAGAACACCCAAATTCATAAGCGAAAATTATGATAGTTGTTCACAGGTCAGAAAATAGTAGTCAGTAATTTCCATCTGTCTTGTTTAATTAGTCTTCCGGATACATATGATAAGTCTATCCCTTTTAGTTTTCGCATTCGATTTGGTTAAATAGTATATATGAGGCTTCAATGGAAATTCATCTTACATTGAAGATTTCACTCTCCGTATCGTCGTTACCGGTCAAAATGTTTCTAGCTCTATTGACGAGATTTAAGGCTACTGAAACTTTCATGCCTATTGGATGATTCGGAAAAGCAGTTCAAGTATTTGTTGAAATGGACAGTTTTCTATACGTTGTTAACTTTCTTTTTCCATACATCTGTCTTTTGACAAGAGAATCAGAAAAAATTTTAGAGGCCCATCATTTGACTCCATTCTCTTTGTAGATTTCATACAACTTGAAGTGAAGTTTTTACGCATCAGGAAGTTTTCTTTTTCATCTTTTTTAATAATGATAAATGCATTGTCCATGTATCTGCATCATACAATAGACTGATAACAACATTTCAAATACGAATAGCAGAAAGAGGGAGATTTCTCAGGTGTCCCGAATAGCCATTTCATATCGAAAAGCTACAGCAGAACGACTTTCAAGAGTATTTGCCTGTGTTGTAAAGGTCTATTTCAAGCCCTCTAATTCTTTAGAGGAAGCTTCAGTTAGTATCAAAGATATATTTCCTAAGATAACACAACTGCTTTTAGGATAAAATGTAAGGCTTGATACATAGGGGAAAGTAGTAGAGAGGTGAAGGTCTGCATGAATGAATAAAAGCTATGCACAAAATGTTTACCTAGAGATGAAATAGGGTTAAAGAGTAAAACAAAGATCAGTTATAGCAATACGTGTTATAGTTAGTGAACAGAAGATAAATATTGAAATGTCTAAATACTAGAAAACGGATTCCAGTCGCAAAGAACCATGGAGGTTCAGTAGCTTTAAATCTCGTCAATAGAGCTAGAAACATTTTGACCGGTAACGACGATACGGAGAGTGAAATCTTCAGTCTAAGATGAATTTCCATTGAAGCCTCATATATACTATTTAACCAAATCGAATGCGAAAACTAAAAGGGTTAGACTTATCATATGTATCCGGAAGACTAATTAAACAAGACAGATGGAAATTACTGACTACTATTTTTTGACCTGTGAACAACTATCATAATTTTCGCTTATGAATTTGGATGTTTCTAACACAACAAACAAACCTTCAGGAAAACATTATTTTGGCTTTCTAAACTCTCAGTGGCTATTAGAATTAATTTTATAACGATCCAGTTTGAATAAGCGCTGAAATCTCTGGTCTGGCCATTTATATGGTTACTTTGTGAGTTCAAATTTAAGGATGGAAACGCGTCTAGCGTGGAACACTAGTTTTATTGTTTACTGGAATTCTTAGTAGTTTCTTCAAAGCTTACAAAATATTGAATTAATGCTTGGTTACACGTTGTGTAGTTGTCTTATATGTATGAGGGTTTTAAGGAGACTTCATATCAATTAGTATAGGAAACATTCTCCCATTGTTACTGATTAATGCATGGCTGTCTTAAAGGTCTTAATGACTTTATATACGCCTGTTTGTGAGAACATATTTGGTTACTAAAGAGGATCTAAACTGCAACTGGCTACAAATTATTTCTCCTCGAGGAACGTGAGACCTTGACATTCAATACATGCGTTAGATAAGTGATTCTCTTATAGTTGGCATGACTTAACAGCTAGAGACTGAAGATGAAAATTGTGGTTGTATTCTGATTTAACTCTTAGGATTCTTGAGAAAATTCTTAAACGACTCTTACTTCAGTTAATGGGGAAATCACAAAATAGAAAGTTCAGATGAGTTTAAATTTGTCTGACATTCCTCAAAGGAATATCATTTGTAATAAGCAATCCCATTTACTGAAGGAGAGTGAAACGATTGAGAATAGTTGCAAATTTACTAACTAATTAACTTCAAGCCTCGTTGAATGAGAAACCACTTCCTTTGAAGTCGTATCAAAGGGGAGGATAAGAATTTCCTTGTAAGCTCTGCTATCAACAAATCTAGCTCCTGCTAGTTATTCATTTCTCGAGTCACACGTGTTTACAAATAGCTCGTTTTCAAAGCGTTGATACAATTGCATAACCTGATAAAATGACTTGCACAATGTATTGTAGACGAATTATAACTAGCGATAAAAAAATATTGTTTATCTATGTAAATTTAGTTGATAATTTGACAAAAATATTATTTACTGGAAGCCATATATACTCGGCACAGATTCATCCAGTTACAAGCTATTCACGAATGGTAGAATGCAAATGAAATCCACACCGTTTTTCTAGTTGAAAGTTCAAAGTAATAACAGCCGACAATTTTCAGATGAGCAAATCCTCTGTTGTACTACTGTTCACAAATTCGGATAACCAGCCTAAGAAATCATGAAGGCGGAATAATCGGTTTTGTCATATGGAAAGTACAGATAAAGATTACCACACGATGTTAAGCAAACACAACATTTTATGCTTACAGAGGATTTATTTTACAAGACAAAGTACAATTTGTTTACAGTAAATCATTAGTTTATGCCACAATTTCTATTTTAATGAGGAGTATTTTTGAGCTAGTTCTTCATCTAACCGCTTTTTAAAATCGGAGAAAGTCATCCGACCTCGGTGCTTACTTTTAAACTTCATATGATGACAAATTAAGCTATCTAAGATATATATTGCATACGAAGACTTACTTAGTAGATGTTGCAATAAACACCATAGATATAACGCCGACTCGTACTCCACGACGAAGATTACCTGGAGAGAAAGCTGTAAACACAAATTCACTTACTTGTCCTCAGGAAATCAATAGCTCCAACCGTTAAGCCACCAAGTCCACCCCATAACAAAACAGATTTTTTACAATCTGTATTCATGCTGTAATGTAGTTCAAGTCAAAAGGAATCCTAGCAGAAACGTTAGTAAAAGTAATGGTTTTAAATAATACCTTTGAAATTATTACGAATATCTGATCACCAACATGTAAACAATATTGTTATTAGCTATAAACTACCAGGTTATGAATTTTTGCTTACTGACGTAGTAGAATAAATGTGTTATGCACACAAACAGTCTGATTTAACGACATAAAAGTTGGAATGAAGGTAGGCCTCCGAAACGATTGATTTACATGGTAGCAAACTGCTTCTCTGGGTTACATGGGTTTTTGGTTGTCGTGTATTATAAAATTAATTAGATAACTAATATTAATGTTTTTTGATTGAATATACTTCGAAACTGCTATCAGTAGCACAAAGATACTCACGTACATTTTGCTCGTAAATCTTAACACCAAATCTTTAATTTTTCTTCTGTTTTTAATCTACCAAAGTTTATTTTAGAACTCGACATTAAAACTCTGTTAAATTTCGTTTCTGTATTGGTCTGAAGTGCAGTAACATGGATCAATACAACTGTACACCTGTTTGATAAACTGTTGCACCACACATTACTCTGCGGTCTTTTCCAGCATGATGAACTACTATGTAGGTGTTGATAATGTAAGGTTATCAGAGTAACAATGCTCAGAAAGGAAACCAGAGTTCACATTTCATCGTATGGAATATATATTTTTACTACTGAAGTGCAGTCATTTTTTAAGTCATAGAAGCGTGTAGCCAGATCTATAAAGTATAATTAAACGGAAAGTTTGTGTGCATAGATAGTCATATAACCACTGGTAACGGCGTAGCAGATAGTAAGTGTATCTAATGCCATAGCTGTTCCAGACACTCCTGGTGCTCCCACAATGTCAAGCTGAATATATGTGGTTAGGTTTGATGGTTTTAACGAATTCATGTTTATGGGGACAGGTGGACATAACGTACAGAATACTCGTAAAATGGTCACTTGACATCTACCCAATTCA